TGCATTATGTGACAAATTACGACTTAGGAACCGTCTCTCATAAACTGCTCAGAAAGGACACACATTTCAAATCAACTCACACTGAAATGTGTAATAGATGGCTGTGTTAACACACAGGCACTTGCACTTTAACAGTTGTTCAACCAAAAAGATAAATAATAAATGGTAGCATTGTAAACACCAGATAAGGGCTGGTGGGGAAGATTTTCTTGAGGAGGCTGAAGGCAAGAGTGATTCCCAGAGACATTTTTTGGATAGGTGAGGTCCCTTCTTGACGCTTCACTTCACAGCCATTGCCATTTCCTTATCCAGAGATGGCCACTGTCCTTCCAAACACATTGCCATGAATTTACATACATATTTATTTAAAATCTAGAAATTTAGCTCATTGTGTGAGTTTTACCAAAATATTCTTGTCCTATAAACATTATTCTGGAAATTGCTCTTTTCCTCCCTCAACAGTATATTTGGCACCTTTTTTCCTATCATAATACATAAAGATTGACCTTACATTATTTCTTAATGCCACATGGTACTCTGAAACATTGTGTCTCAAACTTTAATGTGAATACAAATCATCAAGAGGTCTTGTTAACATGCAGCTCTGATTTGGTAGATCTGGGGTAAGCCTGAGATTCTGAATTTCCGAAAAGTTCCCAAGTCAACCAATCACACCTTGCAGAGCAGAGGTGTAGAATATGGGTGAAGTGGTGTGTTAGAATCGGCTTGGACCAGCTCATGAGAAGTGATCATCAAATTTCTAGGAATTTTGTGATCATATTGTTAAACACAGCAGTCATTAAAAATGAAATTGTATAAAGTTACAACCAAATAAATTATATTAAAACAGAGGTTATAAATACTCAAAAATCATCACTTTCTTAATTATTTTACTACAAATCTATGTTCCTGAGGTTATTTGTGTCTACTTGCATCCATTTGGTAGAAATCTACACAGTGGTTTGCTTTTCCAAATTCCTTCTCAACTCTACTTTCAGTTCATGTTGGCAGTCTAGAATCAGCCATAGGGAGTGTTTATACCACAAAAATTGGGTAGAAAGACATACATGACCCCAGGCTTTCTCCTGCATTTGATATTACCAGTCTTTTTCATTTTTGCTAATCTGACAAATCAAAAATGCTATTTCACTTATTACATGCATTTCCCTGGCTACTTGAGATTGGGTCACACAGATGCTCGTTCCTAGTAATTTAACAGTTTCTCTTGTTCTGGTAAATAGGACCTTTCTATGATTATATTTTCTGGTTGATTATTGTACATGAAAGCCGATGATTTTTCAAATCAGGCCACCCCTTCTTTCCAGTTCTAACAGTTCTAAGTTTATTGTCTTGGTAATTGTGAAAGTGGAAGTTGCTCAGTCCTGTCCGACTTTTGCAACCCCATATAGTCCATGGAATTCTCCAGGCCAGAACACTGGAATGGGTAGCCATTCCCTTCTCCAGGGGATCTTCCCAACCCAGGGATCAAAGCAAGATCCTCCCGTGTTGCAGACGGATTCTTTACCAGCTGAGTCACAAGGGAACCCCTTGGTAATTATATAACCTATAAATAGGGACAGATTGTGCTTTTACATATAAAATTGTTTTCTGGCACTGGCTCTGACTTCAGACCCACATTGATTACCAGTGATAACAGCTAATCAGCTTCTGATTTGAACAGGGATACTTCTATATTTCCCCACTAAAGTCTGCTATAGATTTCTGCTACATATATAGAGATTTTTGATAGATAGATAGAGAGAGAGAGAGATAGATCCTTTCTCTTCTCGTTTCTTAAGAGGATTTTGGTTTTGTTTTTTGTTTGGTTTTTTGGTGGTTCCTTTTTTTTTTTTTTTTTGGCTGTGCTTGAAACTGCACTCTTGGCAGTGGAAGTGTGGAGTCCTAACCACTGGACTGCTAGGGAATTCCCTGGTTTTGTTTTTATTAAGACTGGATGTTCAATTTTTCAAACATTTACTTTCACTTTTTAAGTTTTGCATTTTATTGATGTTTGAATTGCTCACATTAACATGTACTTTTTTAAAAAACATGATACATTTTACTTTTTATTTGAATTGTTTCATTTATTTATTTTTATTCAAGTATAGTTGATTTGCAGCTGTGACCAAGTACTCTTTTTGTGATCAGAATATTAGAGTTTTGAGCTAAGCCTCCCTCCCTGACCCTGTTTGTATCCCTGATTTTGCTCTTGTCACTGTCCTTGAATGTGTTCCTTCACCAGTAGCCAGCCTCTGGCTCCTCAGAGAGCAAGCATGTTCTCTTCATGTCCCACTCAGCAGTGAATCTTTATACATAATGGCATTCCAGGGAATGATGAGGGAACGCCATGAATTTAACCCATCACCTCGTGTGTATATTCCTGAATGTGCTTAGTCGCTCTGTTGGGTCTGACTCTTTGCAACCCCATGGACTGTAGCCCACCAGGCTCCTCTGTCCATGGGGATTCTCCAGGCAAGAATACTGGAGTGGGTTGCCATGCCCTGCTCCAGGGGATCTTCCCGACCCATGAATTGAACCATGGTCTCCTGCATTGCAGGTGGATTCTTTACCACCTGAGCTACCAGGAAAGCCCATATTCCTGAATACGACATTATAATATCTATTCCTTTGAACTGAGGGCCGCAGGATCTTTCCAACTACTCCTCACTCCCTGGACATTCCTACTCCAGTACATAAACAGCAGATTGCTCCATCAACCTGTAATCCCTGGAATGTTTATAACACCCCTGGTAATTGGCCTCTGTGTTGAACCTAGGGGCCACCAAGAGTCCTGATCAGAATCAATGGCTAAGCAAGCACCCGGATTTTTGTTTTGTTTTTAAATATTAACTATACTTCAATAAAAATTGTAGTACAGTTTACAATGTTGTGTTACTTTCTGCTGTAGAGCAAAGTGAATCAGTTATACATATACATATATACACTCCTTTTAAAGATTCTTTTCCCATATAGATCACTGCAGAGTACTGAATAGAGTTCCCTGTGCTACACAGTAGGTGCCTATTATCCATTTTTTATACAGTAGTGTTTACATGTCAATCCCAGTCTCCAAACTTCCCCTTCCCTTCCTTCCCCCTTGGGAACCATAACATTGCTTTCTACATTTGTGACTCTAGTTCTGTTTTGTAAGTAAGTTGATTTGTAGCATATTTTTAGATTCCACATATAAGTGATATCATATATTTGTCTTTCTCTGTCTTACCTCACTAAATATGACAATCTCTGGGTCCATCCTTTTCATTGCAAATGGTATTATATTATTGGGTTTTTTTTAATGACTGGGTAATATTCCATTGTATATATGTACCACATCTTCTTTATCCATTTTGTTTATCCATCGATGGACATTTAGGTAGCATCCATGTCCCAGCTATTGGAAACAGGGCTGCAGTGAACATTGGGGTGCATGTATCTTTTCTCTCTCTCTCTCTCTCTTTTAAATACTGATTTGGCTGTGCTGGGTCTTAGTTGCGGCATGTGGAATCTTTTTGTTGCTGAGTAGTAGCACAGGCTTAGTTGTTTGCAACATGTGGGATCTTAGTTCCCACCAGGGATCAAAACCACATCCGCTGCATTGGAAGGCTGAGTCTGGTTAAGCACTGAAGCACCAGGGAAGTCCCATGTATCTTTTGAAATATGATTTTCATCAGATATATGCCCAGGAGTGGGATTGCTGGGCATATACCATATGTTAGCTCTACTTTTAGTTTTCTAAGGAACCTCCATACTGTTCTCCCTAGTGGATAGACCAATTTACATTCCCACCAACAGTGTAAGAGGATTCCCTTTTCTCCACACCCTCTGCAGCATTGATTGTAGATTTTAAAATGATGGCCATTATGACCAAATGTGTTCCTGGGTTTTAAAAATTACTACTTACTTACTCTTGACATAGGAATATTGGAATTGCCTCCAATACAACATATGGAGTTTGTCTTTTTCTGTCTTTTTTTTTTTTTTCTTCACAGCTGCTTTCGAGATCTAGTTCCCTGACCAAGGACAGTAAAGATATAAAGTTGAAAGGGCAACGAAGATTAAACTACCTAGCGCATTAAGCTTTATTATAAAGCTAAAACTTATCATGAACATTAACCATGTTGCTTTTATTATCACCAGAGTGCCTGTGGAGAGAGAGAGCACTTTGTACAACACCCAGGTGACCAGGTGAGCTGGCGGAGGCGTTTTCTCTTGGACTCCCTAACTTGGGGGTGAGGGTGAAAGTATCGGGCAGGCGGTTCCAGGCTGTCCTAGCACCTCCGGGTCGGCAGAGGGCGTCCGCCACCCCCGTGGAAGGGGAGGAGGGCGGGGCGGGGCGAGCCGCAGGGCCGGGGCGGGGCTACAGCGGCGGGAGTAGGGGCGGGCTGTGCGCAGGGGCTGGACACCGGGACGCAGGCCCACGCGTACGGCCATGCAGGTAGGTGGCCTCTGTTCGTCCCGGACGAACTTCGATCTTAGACCCGGCCAGGTGCCCGCTCGGGTCCAAGCTCAGCAGCGCGCTTGCTGACGTGGGGGGCTCCCCTCGACCCTAAACGAAACCGAAAGTCTGATCTCAAGTGACTTTACCTTCCCGGGTTGTTCAGGGGTGAGACCCAGGTGGGGTGTTCCCTAGGGGACAGGGCTTTGGTTCCGGGGTGGGGTCGCGGACGTGGTGTACGGGCCGGCTCAGAGTTTGGGAACTGACCGGGATTTCCAGCTGGTCAGTCACGTGGGGGTGGACTTGGTGGGGCCGGACTGAAACTCGGATTAGGGGGCGGGCCGTCTGGGACCAGCTGGGCCGGGAGCGCAGCGGGAGGGTTGTGATACTTACCGGTGGGTTGGAGCCCGGTCTTTTGCGTCTCTTGGTGGGGGGAAAGGGGCGGAAGCCGAGATCTGAGCCCGCGGTCCCTCACTCGGTGGGGATTGGCTGGGGAGGTTCCCGAAGCCGAGATGGGTCAGGTGTCCTAGACCTCGTAGGCGTATGAGCGTCCCCCGTCCCCTAGGTGGCCATGAGCGGCAGGGCCCGCAAAGAGGCGGTGCAGGCCGCGGCCCGGGAACTGCTCAAGTTCGTCAACCGGAGCCCCTCTCCTTTTCACGGTGAGTGACCAGGGCAGGGGGCGGGTAGGGAGCGGGTGTGCCTCCTCCCGGCTTCCATCAGCCGTGAGAGGGCTCTTTCCCTACAGCGGTGGCAGAGTGCCGCAGCCGCCTCCTCCAGGCCGGCTTCCGTGAACTCAAGGAGACTGAGAGCTGGGATATCAAGCCGGAGAGCAAGGTACTGGGGGTGGGGTGGGGGCGGAGAGGTAGGAACCTGGGCTGGGGCTTGAAGTCCTGTGCTCTGGCTTAATCCAGCTCTAAACCCCCACCCCAGTACTTCCTGACCAGGAACTCCTCCACCATCATCGCATTTGCTGTGGGGGGCGAGTACGTTCCCGGCAATGGTTTCAGCCTCATTGGGGCCCACACGGACAGCCCCTGCCTCCGGGTAAGGAAATGGGGCTGCCTGGGAGAGGGGAGGCATCAGGGGGTGTGCAGAGAAGACTTGTCAGCTCCTTCCTCCACACTTGGGGCCCTTCTGTGTCACACTACCCGCCCTCTCAGCGCCAAATCCTGCCGCCTGGCCTTTTCTGAATGCTTGTTCCCCGCTGTCCCTCTCAGGTGAAGCGGCGGTCTCGCCGCAGCCAAGTGGGCTTCCAGCAGGTTGGTGTGGAGACCTATGGTGGTGGCATCTGGAGCACCTGGTTTGACCGTGACCTGACCTTGGCTGGACGTGTCATAGTCAAGGTGGGGCCTGGGGTTGGATCTGGGAGGCCCTGAGCTTTCAGCTGCCTGAAGGCTGACTGTCACCTCCCTTCAGGGAACCTGGAGAGCCCCCCAGGGAAGGGGGGAAGGGGCAGCCCAGGTCAGAGACCCACCTTGGTTAGTCTGGGCGAAGTGGGGGATTTAACCAGCTGCGGATGCAGGGCCCCCCGGCCTGGGCTGACCCTGTCTGTTTGGCCACAGTGCCCTACTTCAGGCCAGCTGGAGCAGCGGCTGGTGCACGTGGACAGGCCCATTCTTCGCATTCCGCACCTGGCCATCCATCTGCAGAGAAATGTCAATGAGAACTTTGGGCCCAACATGGAGATGCACTTGTGAGATGGGGATGAAGGCGGTGGTGACCTGGAGCTGGGGAGGGTGTGGCATGGATGATGGGGGGGCCCTGCTGGGATCGGGGAGACCACTCCCTAACGGTGGCCACAGTCAGGTTCTACCCCAGGGACCCAGCGGATGTCCAGAGGCCCTGAGAGCTTTGCTTTTTGCAGAGGGAGCTGGGAATTGAGGGACCGGGGCAGTTCCCCATCAGGGGATGCCTGAGCGCAGGGTCCTGGTGCAGGGTGTCCCACCTGGCTGTGCCCTCCAGCCCTCCCCCCATGCCCCCCTCACGTGTCTCCCCACAGGGTCCCCATTCTTGCCACATCCATCCAGGAGGAGCTGGAGAAGGGGACTCCGGAGCCAGGCCCCCTCAATGCTGCAGTAAGAGCCACCTGCTCGTGGGGAGGGGTGCGCAGGGGGGAAGAGACTGGTTCCTGGAGAAGGGGAGAGAGCGGGGAGTGGACCGGCCTCTCAGCACCCCCCTGCCCTGCAGGATGAGCGGCACCACTCGGTCCTCATGTCCCTTCTCTGTGCCCATCTGGGGCTGAGCCCCGAGGACATCTTGGAGATGGAACTGTGTCTCGCCGACACTCAACCTGCGGTGAGGAACTCATGGGTGGGGACCCTGGGATCCCAGCTGGCCCCAACATATTTTCCCTCATAGCTCAGTTGGTAAAGAATCTGCCTGCAATTCAGGAGACCCCAGTACAATTCCTGGGTCAGGGAAATGTGCTGGAGAAGGGATGAGCAACCCACGTCAGTATTCTTGGGCTTCCCTGTGGCTTAGCTAGTAAAGAATCTGCCTGCCGTGCGGGATACCTGGGTTCGATTCCTGAGTTGGGAAGATCCCCAGGAGAAGGGAATGGCTACCCACTCCAGTATTCTGGCCTAACATGGACTATATAGTCCATGGGGTTGCAAAGAGTTGGACACAGCTGAGCGGCTTTCATTTTCACTTCACTGTTTTCCCAGTACACACCACCCCACTCTGCTTCTAGGGCAGTGGTTCTCAAAAATGGCAGGTTTTCCATGCCAGGTCTGCCTGCTCGGGCTGTCTGGGTTGGGGGTGTAAGCTTTCCACAATTTCAGGAGGAGTTTCCGCTACTGGGGTCCCTGTCCACTTTGACCTGTGCTGGCTCCAAACCTCCGAGGACAGGAGGCCTGGATGTGCTCCACCCCGCCTTCCTGGAGCCTGTCCTTGCATCTCTCCCAGTTGCTGACTGTAGGAGATGGCCATGTCTTTGGATGCTCGCCCATGTTTGAACATGTGCTAAGTTTCTATTTCTCGCCTAGTCTCCTCTGTTTAGTTCCTCGGCTTTCTTCTTTTCTTGTTTGGTCTCTGCCTTGTCCTGCTCCATAGGAACTGATCAGGAACTGCAGGCCTGCACCCTCCTGTCCCTCAGCTCCAGCCTGGCCCTTCTCCGTTCTCTGCTCAGCTCGGCATAGCGGGCTGAGTGCTCTAGGCCAGAGGCTGGGAGAGGTTGGGCAAGGAACCAAGGAGGCGTGTTCAAACGCAGCCCCTAGGGAGCAGGGAGAAGAGGCTGAGTCCCGGGGAGGGGATGAAGATCAGGATGACCGTCCTGTCTTTCTAGGTCCTGGGTGGTGCCTACGAGGAGTTCATCTTTGCCCCTCGGCTGGACAACCTGCACAGCTGCTTCTGTGCCCTGCAGGTGAGGAGCCGGGGCACTCCTAGGAGCACGGGGCGGGAGGACTGCCTGGAGTCCTACGGGTCATGAGAAGACCCCTGATGCAGGTGGACTATGGGGAGAGGCCTAAATGCTGCAGCCTCAGCATCACTCCTCTGGGCCCCATCTTTGCACTGGCTGGGCCGGGGCGGGGGATGAGGTCGGCAGAAGGCCGAGAAGTTGTTTAGGGCCTCACAGAGTCTTGTCCTGCTTCTCCTTTAAGTTAAGCTATGCTTTAAAGGAAAGACCCTACCATCCTGTATAGCAGTATCATCCCCCTTCTCTAGCCTTCCCCCTCAAGCCCTGGCTTAAGCTCACCCAGCTGCCTTTGAGCCTTGGCATCTCATTGAGTGGTTGCATTGATATTCCCCACCTTCTTTCTACCCTGGTCACTTCCCCCCGTTCCTCACCTCTCACCCTGCTCCTCCCTCTGTCATTTCCATACTCCGTTTGCATCCCGTCCTGTTCTCAGAAGACAGGCTTTGGGCTGTAACTGAGGTCAGAGCCAGACCTGGGACTCAGAGCCACTTGCGCCGCCAGCCAGCCAGTCGCATCACCTCAATGGAGTCACAGTCACCTCTTTGGACCTCAGTATCGATGCCAAGACCAACTAGTTTATGTGACCCGTGCAGTCCTTTTGACTTGCCAGGATTCTCAGCCCTTCCCCTCCGTCTTACACACACTCCTGCCTTTTGTGTGGGAAGGCATGTGAGGGAGGAGAGGGAGCTTTTCCCCCAGCTCATCGAAAAGGCCCCCCACATGTCCTCCCACCCGGCAGCACCCTGAGAGATGCAGACCAGTGACCGCTGGAGCCCGCTTCACTCCGGCTGTGATGGCGGGAGGCGGGCAAGTGAGCCTCCCAGGTGTTGGTGGGCTGAGTTATGGAAGGTGGAGTGGGGAGGATGATGCTTTTGCCCCCTCCCCAAACAGGCCTTGATTGATTCCTGCTCAGCCCCTGCCTCCCTGGCCGCGGATCCCCACGTGCGCATGATCGCCCTCTACGACAATGAAGAGGTGCGTGGGGAGCTCTGGGGAGGGTCTCCTCTGGGGAGTCTTCTGCAGCCAGTGGTGTCCAGCAGCTGCCACGGGCCAGGGCTCCTCTGGAGGCTCCAGGGATGAGCCAGACACTGCCTGTGCTTCCTCAGCTCTCGGTGGCCCCTCCGGCTCAGCTCGCACCTGCTCCTGGTGTATGACGCCTCCCACGTCTCCGGGTGCCACATGGTGAGCTCTTGGAGGCAGGGACTCTGCCCTTCACACTGGCAGCCCCAGCGCCCGGCGCAGGCTGGGTCCTCGCCCTGCGTGCTTGGGTTAGGGTGCTGGCTGAGACGCCTGCACAACTGCACAGCTTCCTGTAACTGCACAGGTCAAAGTTAGCGACTCCTGTCACATGCACCAAAGAAGATTGACCAGGGAGATGGGGCACCTGGGCTGAACCCCAGATGGTCAGGGGAGAAGGAAGGCCAGCCAGGAATGGAAGTGGACTGGACAGTTCTCTTTCTGCCCTGGAGATGGCCAAGCATTAGACGGTGGCCCCAGCTCACCGTCAGCTTTTTGGTGGTATAGGGTTGGGGAAGTGGCTGATAACAGTCCACATTCCCACCCACTGATTCAGTGGGGATCCTGAGCCAGTCTGGGCATGGGCCCCACTTCCTGGCCTCCAGCTCTAGCCCACCAGACCAGACCACCAGAGCCAGGCCCCCTCTCATCACCAGGTGGGGTCGGAGAGCGCGCAGGGCGCACAGTCACTGCTGACGGAGCTGGTGCTGCGGCGGATCTCGGCTTCGTCCCAGCATCTGACGGCCTTTGAGGAAGCCATCCCCAAATCCTACATGATCAGTGCAGACATGGCCCATGCCGTGCACCCCAACTACCTGTGAGTCTCCTGCGCCGGGCACACAGGCCTCACACAGCTGAAGACAGGAGCGTGACCTGGCTTTAGGCTCAGCCCTGGCCTTGGGGCTCCGCCTCTTCCCTTCCCCTTCCTCCATTCTGCCAGGAGGTTCCGTGGGGACTTCCTTTTGACTGCTCTGTAGCCTGACTTGGTCAAAGTCACATCGCCTAACCCATCCAAATAGGTTCTGTCTACAGACTTACTTCCCCCACTGCTCATTGCAAGAGTCTGCCTGGAGCCCGGTATTTAGCTTGACTCTGAGGTCCTGCAGGCTGGGTGGGAAAGAATGCTGTATTAGTGATGTCTGCCATGAGCGAGTGGTGTGTGTTGACAGCTGCTGTTGGCCATCCCTGGCCTTTCTCGGTCTCTTTCAGGGACAAGCATGAGGAGAACCACAGGCCCTTATTCCACAAGGTGAGGCGCTCCTGCTTCTCCTCTGGTATCTGGAGGCCTGGCTGGTTCCAGGCCCCGTCCTCTTCCCTGTGGACCTGTTAGGCATCTCTGCCTCCCTCTAGACTCCTGGTTTCCCTCTCCCCAGGGCCCTGTGATCAAGGTGAACAGCAAGCAACGCTACGCCTCGAATGCAGTTTCAGAGGCCCTGATCCGAGAGGTGGCCAGCAGTGTCGGGGTGCCCCTCCAGGTGAAGGTGGACCCTGCCTGGGAAGGTGGGGTGGGGGGCACAGGCAGGTGGTCCCCCAGTAAGGGGGGCCTGGTAGACAGTCTTTAGAGGAAGAGGGTCCTAGTCGAGTAAGGAGCGGTGGGGTTGGATATAGGCAGAGCTGGGAACAGTTCTGGTTCTGACAGGATGCTAGTTCTGTGACCCTGGACTCGTCTCCTCATTTCCTTTGACTTTGTTTCCACTCCTGGAAAATGGGGTTAAAGGTGCAGTGTCCTCATGGCACATAAAGAGTTAGTCCTACCGCCTTCCCTCCCAGCACCTCCAGTTCCCCTGTACAGGTGGAACTCTTACATGTACAGGTGTCTCTCTTACATGCCCTGGGGGCTTCCACAAGGGAAGTTCAGGGCCAGGAAACCTGGAACTCATTGTCATTCTTGCCTTGGCCACGGCCCATCTAGTCAGAGGAGGAGGGAGGAAGAAATATGCAATGATTAAGATCTATGTTAGGATAATATATGTTTCAAGGGCTGGATCCCCCAGGTCTGGTGATAGACATAGCAGGGAGGTCCTGATAAGTCAGGACTAGGACCCTGGCATCCTGAACTCCAGCCTCAGGCTCTCTCTGCCCATATAGCTTCCCCACCTCACATTGTAGAACTGAGTTCCATTCTCAGTAAGGCCTCTCTGAGGAGGTGACATTTGAGCTGAGACCTAAGCATTGAGAATGAGGCTGCTATGAGCAAATAGCATCCCTGCCCGAGGGTGAGCATTAGTCACTCAGCTGTGTCCGAGTCTTTGTGACCCCATAGACTATAGCCCGCCAGGCTCCGCTGTCCATGGAATTCTCCAGGCAAGAATACTGGAGTGGCTTACCATTCCCTTCTCCAGGGGATCTTTCTGACCCAGGGGTTGAACCCCAGTCTCCCGCACTGCAGGCACATTATTTACTGTCTGAGCCACCGGCCGAAGCCCCAAGGCAAAAGCGCCCCCGTGGGCGGGAGTGACCTTGGTCCGTTAGGAGCAGCCGGAGCCACGGTGGCAGAGCCAGGCTGAGTATGGGCGGGAGGAGCCAGCCTTGCTAGGCCTCCTAGGCAGGAAGGGTGTTGGATCTTCTTCTAAGGCAGTAGGAGGACATTGGGGCATGTCTCTTTCACGGCTTACAGCAGAAGCAGGGCATGTGTGCTTTAGAAAATATAAATGGAAATGAGAAAAGAAAACACTAATCCCAAGAGATTTGTACGTACTCTTCCAGATTTTTTTCTATGTATATACTTAACACACGTTTTGTTTAAAAAATGAAATCATCTTGGATATGTCTTTTGTTTCCTCTTTTCACTCAGTATTCTCCATCTTTCTATTTCAGAAAATTTTAGTTTCAGTAAATTTATGTCTCATTTCACACACAGATCATTTTCAGTTATCCCCAAAACATTCTTTACAGTTTGTCCCACTTTGGTTTCCAGTTCAGGACCATGTGTTATATCTGGTTGTTTATCTAGCACAGCTACCCCACCTACTTTTGTTGTTGTTGTTGTTCTTTTTTAAATAACATTGACTTACTGAAAAAACCAGGCTCATCATCCTATATGATGTCATCTTCCTTTTTGGATTTTCCTGGGTGCTTCCTCATGGTGTCGTTGAGTTTAAGCCTCTAGCCCGTGTATTTCCTGTAATCTCGAATTCATATCTAAAGGCTTGATGGATTCAGGTTAAACCGTTTTGGCCAGAAGACATCATGACAGGTGTGTCCTTCATGTTGCATCATCCACATACTCTCTGGGTAATTCACCCTTAGTGATAATAAGATTGATCACCAGACAGGGAGGGCTGCCCTCGGTCTCTCCACCTCATGAAGGTATTCCTCCTTTGACTGGACAGTAACCTGTACAGGTGATGAGCTTCCCATCAATCAGACAAGTGCTGAGTTTTAGCACCAATTGATAATCCTTGCCTAAATCCATAATTCCATTAGTGTTTACTGAAAAAATGCCCCCCCCCTCCATTTTTTTTATTCCTTTTACATTTATTAGCTATCATTCTTCTGTGAAGTAGAACTTTCTCCCATCCAGTAGGGCCATCTGGTTATTGTGAAGTATGGTTCCTCCTGGAAAGTCAGGACAAATACTTACTGTTCCCTTTAATAACCAGCTTTCAAGGTGAAGTGTTTTAATGGCTGCCTCAAGTGCTAACAAATAAAAGGTTCTCTTTTTGATGATCATTAAATATTTAGAATCATAGATTTTCGTTGGTTCAGTGTAGATCTGGTCCACATAGTCGTGTCATTTCACGCTCAAATTGTCATGACTTTGACCAGCGGCAGTCCTTTCTATGTGACTCCTGTGTTCTTTGTCATGACTCTGGGAAGTTGTCTTGCTTTTGCCCAAAAGGAAATTGCAGGCTCATCTTGCTCATTTCTCTCCCCAGACTTGGTGGCTTTTGATGGATATTGATGTTAGAGGCTAGTCTAGCATCATAAGTGTTCATTGTTATTGTGGGGGCGGGGGGAGGAATGCTTTGGGGTCATTTCTAAGGACATAGCTAGGAAAAAATGTACATATTTTAAAAATCGTGAGTTAATACTGCGATTCTCATTTTTTAAAAAAGAGCAGTTACTACTTACTTTACTTGGTTTTGTAATTCTCTTTTATGTGGAAAATCTTGATGTCCACCATCGTATTATGATGGTATATTTACCATCATATATTTACTTTTGTTTACCAGAATACAAATCAAGTAGTTTAAAACTGCCCATAGCCATATTTTTAAAACCACTAAGATTATTGACTGATTATTTGTGTGTGGGTGGGGTGGGGGGTGCATGTTATGAAGCAAGGGGACATAAAGGGTACATGTATATTTCCAGTCCCCCTGCCCACTGTGTGGGGAATGGATTGTGTGAAAGGCAGTATGAGGTAGCTGGAACTGAGGTGGTGGTAGTGCAGATGGAGAGAATGGGACCAGTTCAGAATATCCTGTCCTTTGGGCCTGCCTTAGTGCCAGACTTGTGATTTTACACCGGCCACATCCACTCTTTGGGGAGGTCAGAGTGGGCGATGTACCAGGCTCCTTTCAGCCCCACAGTTCTAAGGTGACTTCCTCCTGGGTCTTAAGAAACAGGTGTTACATGTTGCTCATGAACAGCTCTTCCTCCCTGCAGGATCTCATGGTCCGGAATGACTCACCTTGTGGCACCACCATTGGACCTATCTTGGCTTCTCGGCTAGGTCTGCGGGTGCTGGATTTGGGCAGCCCCCAGCTGGCCATGCACTCCATCCGGGAGACAGCCTGCACCACAGGAGTACTCCAGACCCTCACTCTCTTTAAGGTGACTCTGAACCCCCTCCCCATCACTGTGGGAGCCAGGCTCCCTCCCCATCTGGTACCCGCATCAGTCCTGGGGCATCATCTGGCCCGTGCATGGGGCTGGCTGGCTTAGAGCTACCATGTAGGAAAGGAAGGGTCCCCCTTCTTCTCAAGGCTCAGGGGCCCTCATCAGCCCCCAGAGGATAGTAAAGGGTTGGAGAGGAGATTGGGGATGAGAAGTCTTTGACAGTGGTCAAGTGTGGGTGAAGCAACTACGCCTTCCTCTCTTGCTGGGCCGTGTTGGTAGCCCAGTGAGTGGTGGGGCACCCCCGACCTGGTCTCCACTAACCCCAAATCCCATGTTGCCTTCTCTTTTAGGGCTTCTTTGAGCTGTTCCCTTCTCTGAGCCGTAACCTCCTGGTAGACTGAGACCTCTTGGAGAGACTTCTCTCACACATGAGAGGGGAAGTTCTTAGCTGAGCTGAAGCTGGATTATTAAAGTGGATTTTTCACTCAAGCTCATTCCATTGTACTTATTTGGAGATTGGAGGGGTGGGGGGTTTGGGCCTGGCTTAAACCTCTGAAAGCAGAACAGGCAGGGAAGTTGGGGTACAGGTAGAGGAGGCTGCAGATCCTGGGAGAGCTCATGGAGACTGGATTTCAAGTCTCTTTTTCTTTTTTCTTAAGCTCATGCCTAAGTGGACGGAGGTGGGTGAGTTCACAATGGGAAGATCATGTCTTCTCCGATCCCCAGTCCTTCCATTCCCAGAATAGTTTGGGAGCCTGGCCTGGCCCTCAGGTCTGAGTGCTCAGCATTAGATGCCCCTAGAGCCTCCCTGGGCAGCTCAGGCTGTTCCCCTTTGTACCCATCCCTTTACCACCCCTCCCAGGCACTGCCAGGAGAGGGACAGAATCTGGGCTTCAGCTTTGCCCTTCATCAACCACTTCACTTAGCAGCCGCTGCTGTTACTTGCGGAGAAGGCAATGGCACCCCACTCCAGTACTCTTGCCTGGAAAATCCCATGGACGGAGGAGCCTGGTAGGCTACTACAAGTTGGACACAACTGAGCGACTTCACTTTCACTTTTCACTTTCATGCACCGGAGAAGGAAATGGCAACCCACTCCAATATTCTTGCCTGGAGAATCCCAGGGACGGGGGAGCCTGTGGGCTGTCGTCTATGGGGTGGCACAGAGTCGGACACGACTGAAGTGACTTAGCAGCAGCAGCAGCAGCAGCAGCTGTTACTTGATTGTTAACATATGACCAAGAAACTATTATCACTGAAAAAAACCAAAATAGGAAAAGTCCACAAGTCTGCTTGTAAACTCTTCTATCAAAATAATTGTGCTAACTGGTGTCTTTCCAACTTTTTGGTTACCGATGCAAAAATTAATTTTTATATAAATATTACCATTAGGTTTTAAAAAACAGTACGATACATAAAACAATAATGATGCCTGTAGGATATAAAATACATATGATTAAATTGTATAACCACAATAGCATGAAACTCAGGAGAGAGAAACATGTTAAAGTGTGCTAACTTAAGTGTGTTTAAACTTAATGTTAAATGTCTTGTTATGTTCAGGAAGAGAGTGAAGGAATCAATTCAATACTAGAAGTCAAGGATACATATTGTAGTTTTTAGGAAAGATACTAAAAGAGTTTGAGTCTGTAGCTTCTATTAGGGGTTGGATTGTCCCCTGAAAGATGCTGAAATCCTAAGCCCCCAGGATCTGTTGATGCAATGTTATTTGGGAAAAGGGTCCTGCCAATGATCAAGTTAAGATGAGGTCATCATAGGGGTCCCTTATACAACAGGACTGTGTCCTTATAAAAGGGAAATTTGGACACAGAGATGTATAGAGTGAAAGAGATGCGGAGACAGCAAGAGTGCCATGTGAAAATGGAGAATCAGAGTGTTGCATGTACAAGCCGAGGCATGTCAGAGATGACCAGCAAACCACAGGAAACTAGGAAGAGGCAAGGAAGGATTCCCCTGCAGGTTTCAGAGGGAGCGTGGCCCTGCCAACACCCGGATTTCAGACTCTCAAGCCTCCAGACTAAGAGAACCAATTTCCATTGTGTTAAGCCAACCAGTTCATGGTACTTTGTTACAGCAGCCTGAGGAAACAAATGCAACTTCAAACTAATTGAGTGAGGAAAATGGGATAATAAAAAATAATCGGTCTATTCTGCAACTTCGCTTCAAATGGTTCAGCAAAACCATGTTATGTATATGTGTGTGTGCTATCAAATAGTAAAATAGGTTGGCTCTAAGTTTAAAAGCATTGACTCTAAGTGGAGAGACTGGGGGTGTTCATTGTACTATTTTTTTTTTTCAAATTTTGTATGTTTGAACATTTTAATACTAAAAATGTGGGGAAATTTTTTAAAAATTTAAAAGGAGAAATGAAAAAAGCAGTAGAAAGCATTTAAGATGGTAGACTGAAACCCAGTATCTCTACTTAAAACATTAATAAATTGACTAATTGTATCATATCTCAAAGTTCTTATTTAAAAAAACAAGTAGACTATTTTAGTCAAAATACAAAGATTGTCAGACTCAAAAGATTATAGCTGTTTATAAGAGACACAGCTAAAACAAAAGAATACCAGAAGGTTGACAAAACCCTATGGATTTGTTGCTTTTTTAATTCCACAAATTTCATATATGAAACCATACTCTTTTTGACCAAATTCTCAGATTTCTTTTTTAACTTGTCTGGCTTTTGATTAACAATTTCAGCTTTTGATTAACAAGATTTTGATTAGCATAATATTTTTGAGATTTATCTATGTAGTTGCATGTGGAAGTAGTCCTTTTTTTGCTGAATATTTTACACATACCATATTTTGCTGAATAATAAAATAATACACCATATTCAGCAAAATATACCATATACCATGGTTTCTTTCTTCATTTTCCTATTGATGGTATGTGAGTTGCTTCCAGTTGCTTTCTTTGATGAAGAAAGCTCTTGTGAGCATTCTTATGCAAGTATATTTGGGGACAAATAGTCATTACTCTTGGATGTATACCTAGGAATAGAATTACAGGTTATAGGGTAGGTGTATGCTTGTTTTATAAGAAACTTCTAAACTATTTTACAAAGTGGCTATGCCATTTTACACACCCACCAGGAAAGTTCCAGTTGCTCTACACCCTCACCAACACTTGATATTGTCAGTCTCTTTAGCTATTCTGTTAAGTGTGTAGTGGTAACTGATTGGATTTTGCATTTTCCTGGTAAGTAATAGTGAGCATGTTTTCACTGGCCATTTGGATAACCTCATGTGAAGTTGCTCTGTCATTATAGGTTGGTTTGCATTTTTTGGAATTTTTCATAAAAGGAATCATGCAGTACATGCCTTTTGTGTCTGGTGTATCATCAATTGATAGTTTCTCCTTAGAACAATTAATGTAGGCAATTATGCTGATGGATTTTCCTAATGTCAAGCCATACTTATATTCCCAGAACAAGTCCCACTTGGTCATGTCATGTTCTTTTTTAAGGGGTCATTAATTGTATTTGACAACATTTTATTTCACTTTATTTGGGATTTTGACATGTATATTCATAAATAAGATTGATTTGCAGGGTTTGTTGGTGTGTTAGGTTTAGCTATTAATGTTACTCTTGCTTCATAAAATTTTTTTTTATATTTTCCTGGTTTTATTTTATTTATGCACTAATTTTTGTAAATTTTATGTTTTTAGAAATTAGTCAAGTTATCTGTTTTGCATTTATTTGCCCAGTTTAAAGCAGTCTCATTACTATTTCCCCCCACCCTCTAGTTAATCATTTCCCCTTTAATTTCTTTCTCCTCTCTCCCCACTCTCCTTTTTTCTCCCTTCTTCCTCTTTCTTCTTTTTCTTGTGTTTGTTCGTTCTCCTTTTTTTCTCTTAAGTTAGCCAGTAGTTTCCCAATAGAGTGGAGTTTTTCCTAAGTACCAGCAGTTGTTTATATTTGTTAGTGCTAAGTGTTGGTGGTAGGCGCTGCCTGCTATTGTATCGCAGTTACCAAGCCTCTCCCTGGCTGAGGCAGGCAGTGGTGGGCTGTGCTTTGCAGGCAGTATTGATGAGAGGGGTCACTCCCTAGTGTGGATGTGATAACGGGATTTCAGGACAGCAGAGACCAGGTAGCAGCACTTTACCACCCAAGTCTAGTATTTTCTGCCTCTTAATTAGGCTGTCAGCCAGAGTGATGACTGTTTCGTTTTTTGGGTTTTTTTTCTTCCCTTTGGCTGCTTGGCCTGTGGACTCTTATTTCCCTGACCAGAGATTGAACCTGTGTCCTCTGCATTGGAAGGTGGATCCTTAACCACTGGGCCACCAGGGAATTCCCCAGTAATGAGTAATTTTATTTCCTTCTTTTGAAGGGATTTTTGAGGGATGCATAGAGACATTTGGACTTAGGCAGCTGCTGATACCCTATGGGGACTGCAACTGTTACTTGTGATAATAAAATGTTGAATTAAATAGAAGACATTTGGAACCCTAGATCATTTTTTTTTTAAATGAAATAAAAAGTTGAAGGTTTTTGTAGAAGACACTGTGGGTAACCCACCTCTGGGTCTCACTTTTCCCATTTCAATGCATTTGGCCCCATTTCCAACCACCAATATCTGTACTTCCTTACCTGCAGGCTTTCCTTTGCTGCTTAACTAGTTTTCCACTCACATGGCAGTTGAAAATGCCAGGGAACTAATACAGTTTACCCCAGAGCAGTTTAACCAGTGACTGGTGAGATTTTGTGTGTGGATACCCAGCTCCACATGTCTTGGGTAAAGTAACTCTGATGTGTTTGGTTTATACTGGCTCCCACAGTCTCTCCAGCAAAATTAAGCTCTAGAATGAAGCCTGATAACAAACCCCTTCATCAGCCACCCTCCTTTCCTTGTCTCCCACCCCTCCCAATGTTCTCCTTCACCTCCCAAGTATACTTCTTGCCCTCAGATTCTTGTCTAGGGTCTGCTTCTGGGGAAACCCAAACTAAATTAGAATTCCTTTGAGATTGAGAATAAGGCAATCTCCTACTCTGGGCTTCCCAGGTGCAGGTGGCGCTAGTGGTAAAGAATCTGCTTGCCAATGCAAGAGACATAAGAGATGTGGATTAGATCTCTGCGTCTGGAAGATCCCCTGGAGGAGGAAATGGCAATCCGCTCCAGTAGTCTTGCCTGGAGAATCCCATGGCCAGAGGAGCCTGGTGGGCTATGATTCATAGGGTCACAAAGAGTCAGACACGACTAAGATGACTTAGCAGCAGCAGCCTACTATTCTATTTCTATTCCACACTGTACTGTATGCAGGTCCCTAGGGAGGTGATAAAGTGAGGAAAGTAATAAAAGATAGACGGGCTGGAAAGGGAGGAGTAAACTTCCTTTCGATATGATTTGTTACATAGAAAAATCCAAAAGCGCTA